TATATATATATATATATATATATATATGTGTGTATATGTGTATATTTATATATATATATATATATATATATGTGTATATATATATATGTATATGTGTGTATATATATATGTATTTATATATATGTATATGTATATATTTTGTTTTTTCTCTTTTCCTCACTTTTGTTTGTTTGTCTGTCTAAAACAGGTCTCACTTGTAAAAGAGTCACCAAGGCTCAATGCTATTAATCTGTATAAATAAATAAATGAAAAAAGTGATAATGTTTGTCCAGGTTTCCCTATGATCGACTGAGACCTGTCCAGGTGTCCCAAATATGGACTGAGACCTGTCCAGGTGTCCCTGTGATGAACTGCAGAACTGTCCAGGTGTCCCTGTGATGAACTGCAGAACTGTCCAGGTGTCCACCATCTCTCACCAGCTGCTTGTGACCCAGAATGGAGAAGCAGGTCAAAAACTGCATGGATGGTTCCTGAGAATACAGAAACTCCACGTTTGTTAAAATGACAAATATCACGTTGATTTATCACAATATTTAACAATAAATGATGAATTCTGGTGTTACTAGATTTATACATATTTACATGTTATGATTTTTGAAGGCCTGATATTAAAGTAGAAGTGGACAAACTAATTAACTAACATTGTGTTCCCTCAGTGAGGACTGAACTAGGCAAAAGGACCTTCTCCTACTCCGCTCCTGTTTCCTGGAATATCTTACAAAAAGATTTGAAGCTCTCGACCTTTGACCTCTCTAAGTGGCTTTAAGAATCTGTTGGACACCTGGCAGGGTCCAATGCAGACATGTTCCTGTTTTTAGTTTTCTATATTTGTCTTGGAATCTAGCTGTTTTTTGTTTTGTTACCTTTTTCCTTTTAGCCATCCTATATGTTAAAAATAAAAATAAAAAACTGTAGTATGCTTTTTTATAACTGTTTATTGTTGTTGCTGTTGTCCATTGTTGTCATCTTTCTTTGTTGAAATCAGGTCTCTCTTGTAAATGAGTCCTCGAGGCTCAATGGGATTTACCTGTAGAAATAAAGGTTGATTGATTAATTAGTTTATAAATTATAAAGAGGAGGATTCTATGAACTTGTTTCTTCTCCTTTGTAAACAGAAATAATGACGGTTAATTTCTGTTCAGTACTCATTATTTACAAACATTCAAACTTAATCTCATTTGTCCTTCAGTCAAAACCAGATGGATTTAATATTTGACCAGATGGAAGAAGTGGAACATGAAGGTTCTGTGAGAACTGGTAGAACCTCTGATAACAGAACAGGTTCTGGCTTGCTGCTATTAAAACACATGGTTCATCATTTAGTCCTGCAGTTTCTTCTTTTCTATATGAGAAGAAAATCAGAAACATCCAAAAAAGTTCAATCTGATCCTCTTTTTTGGATTTTTCTACCTGGATTATTGAGCATGCACCAGGAAAATCAGAAACAGTTTTTGGAGGAACAATAAGATTTCTGCTCCCAGGTGATGCGTTTTCTTTCCACTCAGTTTTATTTTTCGCTGGAGGAACATCAGAACATAATGGATCCATCTGTGTCCAGTGAAGGAAGGGGGGTGGGTCGGTGGGGGTGTCTGAAACAAGTAAAGATGATGGATGGATGGATGGATGGATGGATGCAGCATCCAAATGCCCAAAAACCCATGTAAAAAATGTATTTGTGGATTTCTTGTCAGCTTTTAAAACCATTCAGCCAAGGATTTTAACAGAGATCTTAACAAGAGTTTTTAATCTCACATAGCTTGGTTTTATGGATTACAGCGTTTTAACAGGTAGGGTCCAGCAGGTCACAGTGGGTTCAACACTCTCTGACAAACAACTACCAGCTCTGGTTCTCCTCAAGGCTGTGTGTTAGCCTCACTGTTATTTATTCTCTACACAAACTCCTGCAGAAAGACTTTCCCAAATAGACATCTAATTAAATATGCTGATGACACGGCCCTGGTAAGCCTCTTAAACAACAAGGAAGAGGAGCATGGACCAGTTCTGCACTTCTTCATTAATTGGTGCAAAAAAATCAAAATTGGTTCTGAACACAAAAAAAACCCAAAAGAAAGGACTATTGGCTACAGGACGGTTCAGTCATTCTCTACAACCACCATCGATGGAGAGCAGATTGAAACTGTCTCGTGCTACAAGTATCTGGGTGTGGTTCTGGACTGTTACTTAAAGTGGGACTCATAGGCTGACCTTATCAGCACCAAGACTCAGCCGAGGATGTATTTTTTTTTTAAAAACTGGGTTCTTTTAGAATCAATAATTCAATACTTTTAATGTTTTATTCTGCTTTTATTGAGGATATTTTATCGTTTTGTAACATCTGTTGGTTTGGCAATGCTACAGAGGCTCAGAAGAAATCCTTGAGAAGTAACTACAGGCAGCAAACTGTTAGGGACCAGTCTGACCAGTATGGAAAAAATATACATGGACAGAGTTATGAAGAAGACAAACAAGATAATAGCAACACACATCCCCTAAGATCCTCATTTGAGTTGCTTGTTCAGGGTGAAGGTACTGCCTTCTTTTATTCTCAAGAAACAGGACAAAATTTTATTTCATACCACAAGTGATTAAATCATTAAATAATAAAAAGGTATCATGAATTACTGAGCTCAAACTTCTTTGATGTAAAGATGGATGTTAATGTCATGTTTGCATATTTTTATCTGTCTGTCTGTCTGTCTGTCTGTCTGTCTGTCTGTCTGTCTGTCTGTCTGTCTGTCTGTCTGTCCGTCCGTCCGTCCGTCCGTCCGTCCGTCCGTCCGTCCGTCCGTCCGTCCGTCCGTCCATCCATGCATCAAAACAGAAGTTTGGTTTTCTCTCTATGTATGATTACAGTCTGTTGTCTCCCCAGGACCCCCCTCCCCACCCAGAGACTTGATCTACACTCTGAAGCAGTCCACCCTGATCCTGGAATGGTCCCCACCATTGCATGCCGGTGGCCGAGCGGACCTGACCTACAGCGTGGGCTGTCAGCGCTGTGAGGGGGGGCGGTGCGAGCCATGCGGGGCCAACGTGGGCTTCGTCCCTCATCAGGCGGGACTAGTGGACAGAACTGTGACTGTGGTCAATCTGCTCCCAAACAACAACTACACATTAACTGTGGAGGCCCTGAACGGGGTGTCAGAACTACTGCCCAACAAGAGGTTCTATTCCCAGGTCAACGTGTCCACGAGCCTTCCAGGTAAGTCCACTTTACCATCTGGACCTGGTGGGTTCCAGAACACGTGGTCTTCTGGACAAACAGGACCAGAAAAAACTTAGCATGGTCCAAAGAGAAATCATCATAATAATGAATTAAATCCCATTTCATAAGGTGTTCTCAGGAGGAGTGCAGGTTCAACAAACTGTTTACTTGTCTCTGAACACAAACATCAACAAACTGTTTACTTGTCTCTGAACACAAACATCAACAAACTGTTTACTTGTCTCTGAACACAAACATAAAAAAAAAGTTTACTTGTCTCTGAACACAAACATAAACAAACTGTTTACTTATCTCTGAAGACAAACATCAACAAACTGTTTACTTGTCTCTGAACACAAACATCAACAAACTGTTTACTTATCTCTGAAGACAAACATCAACAAACTGTTTACTTATCTCTGAAGACAAACATCAACAAACTGTTCACTTATCTCTGAAGACAAACATCAACAAACTGTTTACTTATCTTCGAAGACAAATATCAACAAACTGTTTACTTATCTCTGAACACAAACATCAACAAACTGTTCACTTGTCTCTGAAGACAAATATCAACAAACTGTTTACTTATCTCTGAAGACAAACATCAACAAACTGTTTACTTGTCTCTGAACACAAACATCAACAAATGGTTCACTTGTCTCTGAACACAAACATAAACAAACTGTTTACTTATCTCTGAACACAAACATCAACAAACTCTTCACACAACCATGTAATGTCAGAGGACAGTGATGCAAACAGAATGAGCCTCTACCTCATTTAGGAGTGTCTCCATCTCACATTCAGTGACGTTCCTTATTTTTCTGTGTATAGACATGCTTTTAGTGCAGAGAGGACATTCCTTAGGTGCAGGGCAGATTTAAATTCATTTACATATTAAAATGTAGGCGTCTCGTGGGAGGAGGTGGTTATTCCCTTCTCTGCGCTCAATTCCATGTTGACTGGGACGTATGAAATAAGTGTGGTTGGATTTGTGTATGCGCACGGTTTCATTCATCTGGATTTATTTGTGCGATTTAATTGTAAGCAGTATTTTTTCATTCAACCTTTATTTAGACAGGTAAATTCCTTTGAGCCTCGAGGACTCCTTTACAAGAGAGACCTGATTTCATCAAAGAATCATGACAACAATGGACAACAGCAACAACCACAGACAGCTACAAAAAGGCATACAGATTTTTTTTTGCAAAAAATATGCCAAAAAAGCAACAAAAACAGCTAGATTATTTCAGTAGAAAATCCACGCAAGTCTGTACATGAGGTCCCAGGCGATTCATTCAACCTTTGTTTATGCCCCATTTGCACTGCTCCTAATCCTCCCAACTCTGCTCAGCCTGGATTTGCACCTGCACTTTAGGACCGATTCTGGAGGTGTGTCCAGAATTCAAGTCCTGCCAATGAGAGTTCTGCGACGAGTTACTCAAAGCTGCTCCTCAGATAAATAGTGTTAAATTATTATTTTATATATGAATGTTTCTGTTCAGTGTCCTGAGATGACTTCTGTTGTGACTTGGCACTCTATAAATAAACTGAATTGAATTAAATCTGATTAACCAGATTCTACAAAAACATCTATATTTAAATCTAAAAAAGTTAAGTCTGGTCCTCTGGACATTCAAAAAGCAAAACAAAAAAATTGTAGAAACATTTCGTCTTTCATCCAAAAGACTTCTTCAGTCTGAGGAGCTGTATTCAGCTCATAAATAGCTATTTATAAAAGACTGAGCTGAATACAGCTCAGGACCAGACTTAACTTTTTTTTAGATTTTTCTACCTGGATTATTGAGCATGCATCAGGACAAAGATATTGTTCTCCATGCTCCCAAGTCTGATGATTTTGATGCCTCCACTGAAGTCTGTGAAAGTTTCCTCCACTTCTTCACTGATAAAATTATGTCAACCAGAGCTTGTATTTCTCAGCCTTCCAATGATCCCTCTGTTCCTTTACACTACTCATCTATTTTTGATCAGTTTGAGCCGGTGTCCTCCTCTTTTCTAGTGGACACAGTTGGTCACATGAGGCCCTCTGGTTCCCCTGAAGATTCTTTCCCACCTCGTTTGTTTAAGGAGGGATTTGCTACTGTTGGACTGTTGAATGTGTGCAGGCATTATCCAGACCCCTCCTGCTCGTCTGCAGCTTGTGCAGAACTCTGCTGCTCACCTCTTAACTCAGGCCCGTAGGCGCGAGCACATCACTCCCGTCCTGGCGTCCCTTCACTGGCTCCCTGTGCACTACAGAATTCATTTGAAGCTTTTGCTGTTTGTCTTTAAATGCTTGAACAGCCTTGTCCCACCACATCTGTCTGAGCTGCTTCAGGCGTACTGCCCTCCCCGATCCCTACGATCAGCTGATCAGCTGCTGTTGACAGTCCCTGAAGGCTGAAGCTCAGAGGTGACAGAACATCTGCTGTTGTTGCTCCCAGGTTATTGAACAATTTACCTTTGAGTGTCAGTCAGGCCTCCACTCTTCCTGTTTTTAAATCTCTTTTAAAAACACTCATTCTTTGGCTTTTAACACGGGATCTTATCTTTTATGGCATCTTAACACACACCTGCCATAAAACTGGTATGTTTTTATGCTTTTTTGTGTATGCGTTGTATGTTTTTATTGTCTTAATTAATTTATCTTTTTGTCTGATTGTACAGCACTTTGGCTACCCCTGCGGTTTTTAAAATGTGCTATAGAAATAAAGTTGATTGACTGATTGATTGATTCAGGGTTAGACAGGATCTGTTTCTGAAAAACAAACCCAGTTTAACTTTCAGTTTCTTTACCAAGTTTTCCACATGGAGCTTAAAAGAGAGATGTGAGTCGACCAAGATACTCAAATATTTGTAGAATTAAACAAACTCATTAGGGACACCATTTGAGGATAAAATCAGAGGAAGAACTGCTGGGACCAACTTCCTGTTTGAAAACAGCATCCCTTTGCTTTTTGGTTTTGTCGGCATTTAGTACAAGTTTGAGACGGAACCTTGCAACCAGCGAAAATTCTTCTGCTCCCATCTGGCGGGGTTTGTTTGGGTAAACAACGTAAGTGAGAGCGTTTTTCTCCAACAATAACTTTTGTTAATAGTTAAATTTATAATGCATAACTGATGGTAATGGTAATTAGTACTTTTGAAAGAACCTGTTTTTGTTCACTTACGTATGTTAAATCTTAACTGACTGGATAATAAATCACTTTATTTATCAAAACCTATTTCCATATAGGTTTAATGTTACCTTTCCTTTTCCTAGCTGCGCCGGGTCATAACAGCCTCTCACAAACAGATGGTGTAATCAGGACTTACGAATGTGTCAGGACCGAGATGAATCAAAGGTTAAATGTCAGGAGATGAGCTCTAAATGTTGAGTTTTAAAACGAACCGCGCCCTGATGGTGCTGATGAATCTTTAATTTATAAATCAAACCAAGTCTAGCTTATTATTCTTTTTTTCCACAGACAACTTATTTCTTACTAAATTAAACATAGTTTATTTAGCAGTTAAACACATGGGGGCGGAGCTTGGGGATTACAGTCTTTTGTTGACCCAGAATCCAAGCATTGCTTTCTGTCAGTATTGAGCTTGTTTGCTTTGTGAGTGCAGCCATTACATTTGATTAGGAGGGAATTCATCTTGTCTGTTGTTATCTGATGAGAACGATAAGGTTTCCTTTAGCCACAGCTCACTCTGCAGGCTACAATCTCTGGACAGCAGGAAGACACTGTGTGCAGGACATCAGCTCCACGTCTTACTGGTTCTGCCACAAACTCTGATGTGGTTGATGGTTCTCATGGTTTTCCTCCTCTTCCTCTGCAGCTTTGTCTCTGATCAGTGAGCTGCGAGCAGAGAAGATAGAGCAGAAGAGCATCACGCTGGTGTGGAGGGAGCCCTCATCCCCAAACAGCAGCCACACAGAGTACGAAATCAAGTACTTTGAGAAGGTAAAACTCTCAGTTGTTATGGCTGAAAAAACTGAACATTTCATCGCTTTATGGAACAAAATCCTCTGATGGGAACTAGATGCACAAGTAACCTGTGTAAGTTCTTCAGATAGTCAACTCAAAAAACGATTCTAAAACAGAACCCGGTGGGTTAAGTTTGCTTATTCTTTACTCACGTATTTGAAAACCCACTCACTAAAAGACAGAAACCACTCTCCAGCTGACAGAACTGACTCACCGACTGACAATCGGTGAGTCAGTTCTGTCAGTCGACTGGTGGTGACTTCTTTTTTTGCCAGGCAGTGTATCTTTCCAGTTTTAGCTTCTCTCCATTGGCTCCCTGTCAAGTTCAGAATTAAATTCAGAATCTTACTTCTAACCTACAAAGCTCTCAACAACCTAGTTCCATCTTACAGATCTTATTGTTCCATATTTTCCTAACGGAGCACATCACTCTCTGGCTGCAGGTTTACTTGTGGTTCATAAAGTTTTCAAAATCAGAATAGGAGGAAGATTTTTCAGTTCTCAGGCTCCTCTCTTGTGGAACCAACTTCCAGTTTCTGTCCGTGAGACTGACACATTGTCCAGTTTTAGGACTGGGCTAAAGACTTTCCTTTTTGATAAATCCTATAGTTAGGGTCGGCTTGGGTTTCCTGAGCTGTCCCTTAGTTCTGCTGCTATAGACTTAGACTGCTGGAGGACAAACTGACCACATTTCTTTTCACTCTGCTACTGTCTTTACTTACTCTGCTCAACCTGTTTTGTATTTTTAATTAATTATTTCTATCCTTGACATATTTTTGTCTTTCAGGTACACCTGGATCTATACCTGGACCTGGTCCTATATCTGGACCTGGTCCTATACCTGGACCTATATCTGGACCTACCATTCTGTGTTCGTCTGTCTCTCCTTCCTGTCCTCTCAACCAGCCGGTCAAAGCAGATGGCCGCTTGTCCTGAGCCTGGTTCTGCTGGAGGTTTCTTCCTGTTAAAGGGAGTTTTTCTTCCCACTGTCTCCACTGTGCTTGCTCAGGATGGGAGACTGCAACGAAGCCAAGATTCAACTTGTCTGCTGGATTCTTAGATAGAGAACTTTACTAATTGGCTTTTATGTGAATGTTCCTGTAAAGTCCCTGAGACAACTTTGTTGTGATTTGGCACTTTAGAAATAAACTGAATTGAATTGAATTGAACAGGACACACCTGGTCAAGAAAAACACCTGTCAGTTACATGATCCAATCCTTTAGCATTCTGTTAAACTTCTGTCCTTCTACCAAGCTGTGTATCCGATCCAGATTTAAACAGCTGGCAATAAAAGCTCACACATTCTCTGTCATCTCGTTTTCATCTTTTGAAATCAAACCCAGACTTTTACAGGAGAGTGGATATGATATAAAGATATGTTTAAACCCCACGGGTTCATCTTACCTAAGCGAGCTTTGCAGCAATACACGCCATCCAGAGCCCTGAGGTCAGCCGGCCTGCTTTTGCTGTCTGTCCCTAAAGTGAGGTTGAAGACTAGAGGAGACAGAGCCTTGTCTGTGGCAGCACCCAGACTGTGGAACAGTCTCCCTCTGTGCTGGTGAAGATTCTCAGTCATCCAGGACATGATAAATTCAAAAAGCGTTCAATACAAAAACAACTGGTCTTTATTTGTAACAGAAGACATTTCGCTCCTCATCCGAGGAGCTTTCTCAATTCAAAAAGCAGAGAGTGAGAGATTCAGGTTATAAGGCTGAGTGAGATAAGACACACACACACATGTAGATTGGCAGTTCACACCTAAAACCTAAAACAGTAGGTCTTTGTTCATCTAATTCACAGTCAAGGCCCCTCTGTTCCCATCAGGTGTGAAAACCGGCTGGGAATCTGTTTTAAAGTTGCATTATATGTTTTTGAAAGTGAAATCTGAGGCCTCCTCCTCTGTTAAGAGACGGTTTTTCTCTTTTTACATAAATTGCTTCCTTCACCCCCCCCTCTCAAACCATCTGTGTTCTCGGTCCAAAATGTGCACATGTTGGTCCTCAAAGAGTGTCCCTTATCTGTGAGATGGAGGTGAACAGCTGAGTCTTGTCCAGAGGAGGTGGCTCTCCTGTGTTGAGCCATGCGTCTGTGAAGAGGCTGTTTAGTTTCTCCATTGTAGAGGTCTGGACAGTCCTCGCTGCACTGGACCGCATACACTACACCACTCTGTTTGTGTATGGGTGTTCTGTCCTTAGGGTGGACCAGCCTCTGTCTGAGGGTCCTGCTGGGTTTGAAATGTACTGGGATCTTGTGTTTGTTGAAGATCCTTCTGAATTTCTCTGATACTCCAGCAACATAAGGGATGACAATGTTTTTACGTCTGTTCTTCTCCTTTTTCTGTTTATTAGTGTGTTTTGTAGATTTCCTTGCTGACTTGACAAAAGCCCAGTTAGGATATCCACATGTTTGAAGAGCTTCTTGAATGTGTTTCAGTTCCTTTTCCTTACCTTCTGTCTTTGTGGGGACACGTTCAGCCCGATGTTGTAAAGTTCTGATGACAGAGAGTTTGTGTTCCAGTGGATGGTGGGAGTCAAACAGAAGATACTGGTCTGTGTGGGTTGGTTTTCTGTAAACTTCAATGTTGAGGCTGTCCTCTCTCTCCATCTGAACCAAACAGTCCAAAAAAAGCAGCTTATTGTTGTTTGCATCCTCTCTGGTGAACTTGATGTTGTTATCGACCGAGTTAGTGTCTGGTGAACGCTTCTATTTCCTTGGCTTGGATTTTGACCCAGGTGTCATTCACATATCGGAACCAATGGCTTGGTGTTGTTCCCTCAAAGGAGTGTAGGGCTCTCTGTTCCACTTCCTCCATGTAGAGATTGGCAACAATGGGTGACACTGGAGATCCCATGGCACAGCCATGCTTCTGTCTGTAAAAACTGTCATTGAACTTGAAATAACTCTTTGAGGACCAAAATGTGCACATTTTGGACCGAGAACACAGATGGTTTGAGAGGGGGGTGAAGGAAGCAATTTATGTAGAAAGAGAAAAGCCGTCTCTTAACAGAGGAGGAGGCCTCAGATTTCCACTTTCTAAAACATACAATGCAACTTTAAAACAGATTCCCAGCCGGTTTTCACACCTGATGGGAACTGAGGGGCCTCATCTGTGAATTAGATGAACAAAGACCTACTGTTAAGGTTTTTAGGTGTGAACTGCCAATCTACATATGTGTGTGTCTTATCTCACTCAGCCTTATAACCTGAACCCCTCGCTCACTGCTCTTTGAATTGAGAAAGCTCCTCGGATGAGGAGCGAAACGTCTTCTGTTACAAATAAAGTCCATTTGTTTTTGTATTGAACGCTTTTTGAGTCTCCCTCTGTCTGTTAAGCTCTCTCTGTCAGTAGATCAGTTTAAATCCAGACTGAAAACACATCTATTCTCTGTGGCCTTCACTCAAATTAGTACTTGACTGACTTGAGTTTTAGGGAAATTGCAGAAAATATGCAATAGTTGTCTTGATTTTATTAGTACTATTATTTTATTGCTATTTTACTGTAAATTTTATTATACTTGTATTTTTATTAAACTCAATTTTATTTCTTTTATCATATTTTTATGTACGATGTTGTAATTCTTGTCTGTAGCACTTTGTTGTTTTTAAATGTGCTATATAAATAAAATTTGAATTGCATTGAATAGAATATGAGCTTCCACCATGTACAACACATTGATAAACATATCCAATAAAAACCAAACATGAGACCAAAGAATTGGAGACCAGATGACCAGAACCGAGCTGGTTTCTGTGTCCTAGTGTAGAGAATATTTTTGGATTCAGTCCTTTCATGAAGACGGCTCTATGTGTTTAAATTCCGTTGACTATTCTTCCTCTTTTTCCTCCTGTCTCACCTCGGTGTGTGTGTTTCTGCAGGACCAGAAGCACCAGAGTTATTCCACTGTGAAAACCTCAGCCACCCAGATCAGCATCAGCAACCTGAAACCTGGAACGACTTATGTCTTCCTCATCCGCCCCTTCTCCACACCAGCCCCCTCTTCATCTCTGTCTTCCTCTGCTCTCGCTGCCTCTTCCTCATCTACTATGTCCTCCTCTTCCTCTACCTTCTCCTCTTCTCCACCCCCATCCATTGATTATGGAGCATACAGCACCCCCATGGAGCTGCAGACTCTCAGCGAGTGTGAGTACTCATAGTCTGAAGCCTCCTCTTGCTCCTCCCAGTCCACCTCGACTGGTTGTGGAACCAGACCCTGATTGGCTGAGTGAGACACACAGTCGGACAGAGTCACAGTCAGTCAGTCAGACAGACAGACACACACAGTCGGACAGAGTCACAGTCAGACAGTCAGTCAGACAGACACACACACAGTCGGACAGAGTCAGACTACAAGAAGACATTGAACATAAGGTGTTTTTTTTTATTTCACTTTATTTTATCCATTATTCCATTATATTTACTGAGTAAATGGGGAATACCAATTATCCATTGTTCTAATTATCATGGGATCACACTTCTCACCCTCCCGGGAAGGTTTCCTCCAGGGTGTTGGAAGGGTGGCTCCGACCGATTGTCAAACCTCAGATTCAGGAAGAGCAGTGTGGCTTTCCACCCACCTGGACCAGAAGAACTCCTACGTCCGTATGATCTTTGTGGACTTCACATCTGCCTTCAACACCATGATCCCCCAAACCCTGATGGACAAACTACTCACACTAGAACTAAGTCCCTCCATTTGCAACTGGGTCCTGGACTTCTTAACCAACAGACCTCAGTCTGTGAGGATCTACAACTTCTCCTCCTCCATAACCCTCAGCACTGGCTCTCTTCAGGGATGTGTGTTGAGCCGCCTCCTGTTCACTCTGCTCATGTATGATTGTGCATCTACACATCCAGGCTGTCACATTGTAAAGTTTGCAGATGATACAGCGGTGGTGGGATGCATCACAAACAATGATGAGTCCAGCTACAGGCAGGAGGTGGAACACCTGGAGAGCTGGTGCAAAGAGAATAACCTTCACATCAATGTGAAGAAGACAAAGGAGATGATTGTGGACTTCAGAAGGAACAAACTCACCTACTCCTCCCTGAATATAAGAGGATCTGCGGTGTAAGTGGTCTCCAGCTACAAGTAGTTGGGTGTACACCTGCATCATGAAGGCCCCACTCACCCAGCACACACACTTTTTGCCCCGCTCCCCTCGGGAAGGAGGTTGAGGAGCATTAAGTGTAGAGCCACTAGACTGAGGAACAGCTTCTACCCTGAGGCTGTTAGACACATGAATCTCTAGGCGCCGAGCAGGAGTGGGCATACTTATTGCCCCCCCCCCCCAACTTGGTGCCTGTGTGTTGGGGGTTCACCCCGGTGAATAAGAGGGTGGCCTCCCTCCGCCTACGTGTGGGGGGACGGGTTCTGACTGTCGTTTGTGCTTATGCACCAAACGGCAGTTCAGATTATCCACCCTTTCTAGAGTCCTTGGAGGGGGTACTGGAAAGTGCACCTCCTGGGGACTCCCTTGTTCTGCTGGGGGACTTCAGTGCTCATGTGGGCAATGAGACCTGGAGGTGTGTGGTTGGGAGGAACGGCCCCCCTGATCTGAACTCGAGTGGTGATCTGTTGTTGGACTTCTGTGCTCATCATGGATTGTCAATAACAAACACCTTGTTCAAGCATAAGGGTGTCCATATGTGCTCTTGGCACCAGGACATCCTAGGCCGCAGTTCGATGATCAATTTTGTCATCGTCTCATCTGATCTGCGGCCACATGTCTTGGACACTCGTGTGAAGAGAGGGGCGGAGCTGTCCACTGATCACTACCTGGTGGTGAGTTGGCTCCGATGGTGGGGGAGGATGCCGGTCAGACCTGGCAGACCCAAATGTATTGTGAGGGTTTGCTGGGAACGTCTGGCAGAGTCTCCTGTGAGACGGAGTTTTAACTCCCACCTCCAGGAGAACTTCAAACATGTTCCGAGGGAGGTGGTGGACATTGAGTCTGAGTGGACCATGTTTCGTGCCTCTATTGTCGAGGCAGCTTACCGGAGCTGCGGCCGCAATGTCGTTGGTGCCTGTCGTGGCGGCAACCCTCGAACCCGATGGTGGACACCGTCGGTGAGGGATGCTGTCAGGCTGAAGAAGGAGTCCTATCAGGTCTTTTTGGCTTGTGGGACCCCGGAAGCAGCTGATGGATACCGGCAGTCCAAGCGACATGCGGCTTGGGTGGTCGCTGAGGCAAAAACTCGGGCATGGGAGGAGATCGGAGAGGCCATGGAGAATGACTTCCGCACGGCTTCAAGGCGATTCTGATCCACCATCCGGCATCTCAGGGGGGGAAAGCGGTACGCCACCAACACTGTTTATATTGGGAGTGGTGTGCTGCTGACCTCAACTTGGGATGTTGTAGGTCGGTGGGCGGAATACTTTGAAGACCTCCTCAATCGCACTGGCACGTCTTCCACTGATGAAGCGGAGCTTGGGGACCCTGGGTCGGGCCCTCCAATCTCTGGTGCTGAGGTCACAGAGGTGGTTAAAAAGCTCCTCGGTGGCAGGGCCTCAGGGGTGGATGAGATTCGCCCGGAGTTCCTTAAGGCTCTGGATGTTGTAGGGTTGTGTTGGCTTACGTGACTCTGCAGTATTGCATGGACATCGGGGGAAGTTGTTCTGGATTGGCAGACCGGGGTGGTGGTCCCCCTATTCAAAAAGGGGGACCTTAGAGTGTGTTCCAACTACAGGGGAATCACGCTCTTAAGCCTCCCTGGTAAGGTCTATTCCGGGGTTCTGGAGAAGAGGGTCCATCGGATAGTCGAACCTCGGATTCAGGAGGAACAGTGCGGTTTTCGTCCTGGCCGTGGAACACTGGACCAGCTCTACACTCTCAACAGGGTCCTAGAGGGTGCGTGGGAGTTTGCCCAACCGGTCTACATGTGCTTTGTGGACTTGGAGAAGGCGTTCGACCGCGTCCCTCATGGGAACCCTGAAGATCAGTTCCTCCAAATCCGAGGCCCTGGTCTTGAGCCGGAAAAGGGTAGAGTGCCCTCACTGGGTCAGGGAGGAGGTCCTACCCCAAGTGGAGGAGTTCAAGTATCTTGGGGTCTTGTTCACGAATGAGGGAAAAATGGAGCGTGAGATCGATAGGCGGATAGGTGCAGCGTCTGCAGTGAAGCAGGCGCTGTACAGATCTGTCATGTTGAAGAGAGAGCTGAGTCAAAAGGCAAAGCTCTCAATTTACCGATCGATCTACGTTCCTACCCTCATCTATGGTCATGAGCTTTGCGTTGTGACCGAAAGAATGAGATCTCGAATACAAGCGGCCGAAATGAGTTTTCTCCGCAGGGTGTCTTGGCTCTCCCTTAGAGATAGGGTAAGAAGCTCGATCATCTGGGAGGGACTCAGAGTAGAGCCGCTGCTTCTCCACATCGAGAGGAGCCAGATGAGGTGGCTTGGGCATCTGTTTAGGATGCCTCCTGGACGTCTCTCTGGTGAGGTGTTCCGGACACGTCCCACCAGAAGGAGGCCCAGAGGAAGACCCAGGACACGCTGGAGGGACTATGTTTCTCAGTTGGCCTGGGAACGCCTCGGGATTCCCCCGGAAGATCTAGCCCAAGTGGCTGGGGAGAGGGAAGTCTGGGCCTCCCTACTTAGGCTGCTACCCCCGCGACCCGACCCCGGATAAGCGGAAGAAAATGGATGGATGGATGGTAACTGGGACCCTGTGAACATAATTTTGTTCCACCACATGTACCACATGGGTTGCGAACGACAGTAAAGAATCTCTGACTCTGACTCTACCTGGGCTGTCCCTTGTCTTTGATCCTATTTGTGGTGCCCATGGACAGGATCTCAAGGTTCAGTCAAGGAGAGGAGGGTGTCTGGTCTCTGCTTTATGCGGATGATGTGATTTTGTTATTTCTGTTTTCAGCTTCTGTCAGCAGATTGGACAATAAAACCACTCACGTGGAGTTAATTGTTAATTATGATGTGATGAACAGTTTAAAAGATGAACAATCCCAGTGAGCATGTCCAATCAGAGCAGGACAAACCAAGAACCAGAACTAGGGTTACCAGTCACTTTCCCTCCGTGTGTTCTTCCCTCTGAGCAGATCAATGATCAGCATGTGCAGCTTTCACTCTGTGTGTTTGTGTTGGGTCCAGTGGCGCTGGCGACCAGTGAACAGAATCCGGTGGTGATCATCGTCATCGTGTCGGTGGCCGCACTCATCACGCTGCTCTCCATGGGGGCGGGGCTTCTCATCTGGAGGAGGTATGCTGTCCAATCCCCTCACATCATAAAAACCTCAGCACTGTGTGTGTGTGTGTGGGTGTGTGTGTTTGCCATAAGTTCAGTTTTTATTGCAGTAAAAAACAAACGGAGGAGAAGTTAAAATATTAAAATAGTTCCTGGTTTGGTCTGGGTTTGTTTGATTCGATTCAATTTGATTCTTTGTGATTGTGTACCACATGTTCATTCCTGGGCAGCACGGTGGTGCAACAGGTAGAGCTGCTGCCTCTCAGCGAGCAGGTCCCTGGTTCAAACCCCGGTCCAGGGGCCTTTCTGGGTGGAGTTTGCATGTTCTCTCCGTGCATGCGTGGGTTTTCTCCGGGTACTCCAGTTTCCTCCCACAGACCAAAAACATGCATGTTAGACTGATTGGTGACTCTAAATTGTCCCTAGGTGTGAGTGAGAGAGTGAATGGTTGTTTGTCTTGTTTGTCTCTATGTGTCCCTGTGATGGACTGGAGACCCGTCCAGGTGTAGCCTGCCCTTCGCACAGTGATTGCTGAACATGGGTGCCGGTGACCCCCGTGACCCAAAAATGGAATTAGCGGGTAAAGATAATGGATGGATGGATGTTCATTCCTTCTCAGTCTCTACCTGTCCTGCTATGGCCATGCCCACTCACACCTGCACTGCATGTACACTGAGCTCAGCTGGTCCTCATCAGTCCGTTTCTTCTGTATTGTCCACCTCAGAGGAGCTCCATGTGACAGGCTGCTTTGTCTCCTCACTCCTCCTTGAGCCTCCTGAGGTTTTTGGAGGGTTGTTGCTACGGCAGCATTTTTATTTAAAACGATAAAAGTTATTTTTTGAGATTCTTGGATTCATCTGTATTAGTGGGTCCAAAACCTCCAACAAAGTGACTAAAATAAATTCTCTTTTATGAATCCTGTTTTCTGTTGGTTCTAAAATACGAGCTGGAGCAGGTAATAACTGTGTGAACCGGAGGCCAGTCTCTGAAATCAGACTTCAACACAAGAATGTTGTGAGGATTCAAAACGAAGCAGCTGAAAAGCCTGAAATAAATGTTTTGTTTCTAAGATATTTTACAAAAATAGAAAATGAAACGTTGAATTCAATTTATTTCTGCAGCTCCACATGTGTTTGACTGTTGTCTTCTTGTCTCTGCAGACAGTGTGGCTACAGCAAAGCTTCTCAGGAGGGAGACGAGGAGCTCTACTTCCAGTGTGAGTCTCAACCTGTTCTCCATGGTCTCCTGCTGTTCTCAGAGCTGTTTTGTTCTGCTGTGACTAAATGTGAAGAAAGGTTCCAGCAGCTGCTTTGATGTTCCACAGGTTCTCCTGTGTGTTGTTACATTTCCCATCATTCTCTGCTGTCAGACAGAACCCCATCACTCTGTCTCTCCATTTTTTTTTTGTTTTGGACAAGTTTGTTTGAGTAGACCTCTCGGTGACGGAGCTGCTGCAGCTCTGAATGTCTGAGAACGTTCTTCAGTTCTTTTGGTTCTGGGGAAGGAGAACCGAGTGGATCTTTGGGTTCAGAAGAGGGGATGGCTGGAAGGTGGTGAGGAGAGGGACTTTCAGTCAGATAAGGTGAAAAAATGCATCAAAGAAGAAGAAAGCGTTTTGTTCTGTTTCAGAGAAACTAGAAGAGCAGAAAGTCTGAGAGCGAGGGAGAGTTCCTCACCCCTTCAGGAGAGTTCCTCACCCCCTTCATGTGGATTCCTCACTCCTTCAGGAGAGTTCTTCACCCCTTCGGAAATGTTCTCACCCCTTCATGAAGGTTCCTCACCCCTTTGGAAGTGTTCCTCGCCACTTCAGGTGGGTTTTTCACCTCTCCAGCAGGGTTCCTTACCCCTTCAGGACAGTCCGTCACCCTTTCAGGAGGGTTCCTCACTTCTTCAGGTGGATTCCTCACTCCTTCAGGTAGGTCCCTTATAGAGGATGACATGGGAGTGGATTTTCACTCCTGTCCTGTCCCACTCCTGGTAACAAGACTCCCACTCCTGTCCTGCTCCTGTTTTTCATTTAATTTTTAAGAAATACATTGAATTTTATTTGATCTTCTACCCATTCCTGTTTAAATTACTTTGTGTTGTGCAGTTTTATTTCAAAAGACATGGCAACAGGAACAGTTCATCTGTGGTGAAATAGAGACATTTATTTCCTTAATCCAAACAAAAACTTTCACTAAATGTCATAAAACAAACAATCCATGGCCTGTAGTCCATATAATGTTTCTACGGAGGATCAGCTGCTGAGTCTGTTTCTGGCTCTTTTGAAGGTCAGTTCCAGTAAAAACAAAAAATCTAAACCAGTCCATGGGTCACACCATGTCTACCTTAGATGAAAGAACCCAAACACAACAAGTTGCATTTTACTAATTTATTGAGCAACTGTTTCCTTTAAACAGTGACATCACTGTCATGTTTTAAATTGTTTAAACAAACAAACAAATAAAAATAATGTACCAAGCAGAGAACTCAACAAATAAAAATGTTTAAAGGCATTATTATACATTGGACGACGTCCTCAAGAAGTTCAGTCTGTGTGGTCGAGGTAACGAGCTCGTTTGGGTGAAGCATGATGTCGTGCATCTTCCCAGACTTCAGAGCTTCATTTACAGACTGGACCATTGCAGGTCTGGTGTTCCAACTCGTCTCTCCACAGCTGGACCAGTCCAGAGCCTTGTGGAACCTGAAAGTGAAAGAAGACAGTGCACGAGTCAAAATAGTGTCACAGTGACTACAAGTTACAATCTGTTGGTCTTTCTTTTGGAAAAAATATTTGATCAAAAACAAGAGATTTACAATTGAAATTAAGTCAAGAAAATGTGACCTTTGCAATTATAAATTACAGAAGCTCAATTTTTCTTTATTTCACTTATTATATTTTATAATTATTTAATGAGCCTCACCAGGCAGAGATTACAAGATGTTATGTATCTTACCTGCTCTGTTGAAGTGTGGGACAAGGGTCTTTGTGTCCAAAGCTGTTTAACAGTTTGCTTCCAGAGCTAACAGCTTCCTGTGTTAGGTAGAAAAATTAAATTAAATTAAAGACAAACAAAAAGCTTAGTGCTACTTCTTGTGCCATGCTTTATAAAACAGTTATTGAATAAAGGATTTACTTATGTAGGTAAACATAGATGTTTTAAAACCTGTTAAAATACACCAGAATGCAGGAAATAGCAGCTACTTTATTCAAAAAGTTATGGGGGAGGACCCACAGACCTCGCACCAATATGTCCCCCCTACAATAATTCTAATGCTAATACACACTGTGTTGTTCAAGCCAAGAGCCATTGTCAACACTGGGGGGCCAAGGCCCCTAAAAAGGGCTTCTAGAATCGCCCCTGGTGTGAAGAAATGAACTGAGAAAAATCAACTCTAAAATTTAACACAACATACACATCATATCTTAAATCTAAAACTAAAACAATTATTATATATGCAATCAGTCTTTCATTAAAAAAACTGGGATTTTTTACCGGAGAATGCGTGCACTTACTATACCATACCATACATATACATATAATAAGATTTTTTCTTCTTTCTGCTGCCTTTCATTTTAAATCTTTTGTATCTTTTTTATATTGTTATGGAATTGTTTTGTACTTTTTTTTTATTAATAAACTTTATACCATACCATACCACTTTATTTATAGAGCACTTAAAACAGCAACAAGGCCAACCAAAGAGCTGTACAGACAGAACAACAGGTAACACACAAAGCAAAATACAAAATGAGGTCAATCAGAATATAGACATAAAAACGATGCAGATAATGACGACAAACCAGTGTGGAGCGTACAGGATCAAAACACAGATCATCTGGTGTTGAAAGCTACTGAATAGTAGTGAGTTTTTAAACTGGACTTGAAAACCGAGAGGGAGGGGGCCTGTCTGACAAGCAGAGGTAACTCGTTCCAAAGTCTTGGTCCTGCTACAGAGAAGGCCCTGTCACCTCTGCGCTTAAGACGAGTTCCTGGAACTGTGAGGAGCAACTGGTCTGCTGACCTCAGGGAGCGTGGTGGGACATACGGTTGTAGCAAATCAGAGAGATGGGGGGGGGGGGGGGGCACTGTTCAGTGATTTGTAGACATACATGAGTATTTTGAACTGGATTTGAAAGTGAACCGATAACCAGTGCAGTGAGGCCAAAACTGGTGTAATGTGCTCTCTTTTGCCTGTACTGGTTAAAAATGGGGCTGCTGCATTCTGGACCAGTTGTAGTCGTGCAATGGAGGTGTGACTGATACCAAACAGGAGTGAATTGCAGTAATCAAGCCTAGATGTAATGAATGCATGTATTACTGTCTCCAGGTTCTTTTTGGACAATATGGTCTTCAGTTTAGACAGCCGCCTCAGTTGGAAGAAGCAGGATTTAATCATGTTTACATGATTGTTAAGCATCAGGGAAGGGTCCATCATCACACCCAGATTAGTGACTCTTTGTTTTTCTGACAGGGTTAGAGCGGAGAGGTCGATGCAGTGGTTTGTGATCGTGTCGTTGGGAGGGAACAACATGACTTCAGACTTCTTTTCATTGAAACTCAAAAAATTTAAAGCCATCCAGTCCCTGATGTCAGCCAGGCAGTTGAGCAGCAGTTGAATAGAGCATGTACCATTGTGTCTTAAGGGGAAGTAAATTTGACAGTCATCGGCATAGAAGTGGAAGGGCATGTTGTGTTTCTGGAAAATAGCACCAAGCGGCAGCAGGTATAAAGAGAATAGGAGAGGACCCCTGCGGAACCCCCCATTTAAGCTCTGCCTCTGCGGAACTAAAATCCTTGATGGAGACACAAAAGGATCTGTCAGTGAGGTAAGATCTGAACCAATTGAGGGCTGATCCTGTGACGCCCACCCACTGCTCCAACCTAGCAATGAGGATCTCATGGTCCATGGTGTCAAAGGCGGCTGTGAGGTCCAACAGGACAAGCAGCACAGAATCACCAGTATCTGTGGATCTGAAGATGTTGTTAAAGACCTTCAGCAGGGCAGTTTCAGTGCTGTGGAGAGGTTTAAAGCCAGGTTGGAAAAGCTCTAAGATGGCGTGATCCTCCAGGAAGCACTTCAACTGGGACTCGAGTATTTTCTCCAGTACTTTAGAAACAAATGGGAGTTTGGAGACAGGCCGGTAGTTGGAAACGACTGAGGGGGTCAAGGTTTGGTTTTTTCAGGAGAGGTTGGACGGCAGCATGTTTAAAGGATTTTGGCACCACACCAGTGGATAAACTACTGTTTACTATGGCAAGAATGGACGGACCTAGAGTTGGAAAAACCTCCTTTTGTTATGATTTGGACTACCCAGAATGAACGAGAACCAGAACGACACAAGTCTCAAATAAGCAAAACACTGTTTATTATTTACAGTGAATGGGTTGACATGTATATACAAAATGGGCTCTCTGAAACGGGTTTTACTTGAGAAACATGGAAGGTGGGATGGATTCTCAAGGAGCTGGGGAGCTGTAAGCGCACAGCCGAGGGATTGATGATTTCATCTATGGTAAAGGGACCGATGAAGCGAGGAGCCAATTTCCTGAGAGTGTCCTTGAGATGAATGTCTCTAGTGGATAACCACACCTTCTGGCCCACCTGATAAGAAGGTGCGGCAGAACGGTGACGGTCCGCGAACCTCTTATTCTGAGCCGCAGTGCGAAGTAGAGCCGTCCTTGTTTTGCGCCAGACACGTCTACAACGGCGGAAGTGGTGCTGGACAGACGGCACTGACACCTCTGTCTCCTGACTGGGGAACAAGGGAGGGAGATAGCCCAGTGAAGCCTCAAAAGGTGACATACCTGTGGCCGAGGAGGTGTGCGAGTTGTGGGCGTACTCGACCCACACAAGATGTTGACTCCAAGCTGAGGGGTTACGCTCCACAATGCACCTCAGGGTGGTCTCCAACTCTTGATTGCACCTTTCAGTCTGTCCGTTTGACTTAGGATGATAACCCGAAGTGAGACTGGTGGACGCCCCCATTGTCTGTCCTGCAGAAATGACGCCAAACTTGGGAAATAAACTGTGGTCCTCTGTCAGAGACCACATCTGCAGGGATGCCATGAATCCTAAACACTTGCTGGACCAAGATCTGAGCTGTCTCCATGGCCGACGGGAGCTTGGGTAGTGGGACGAAATGTGCTGCTTTAGAGAACCTGTCGATGATAGTCAGAATAGTGGTGTTACCTTCTGAAGGGGACAACCCGGTGACGAAGTCCACTGAAA